CACATTATATAGTGGCATTAAGTGTCGTAATGTCCTCTGCCAACTACTTCGGGGATAAAAGGCGTGATGTTATTTTCAAAGTCAAAGTCAAAGTCAAAGCATTTATTTCAATTAAACCATAGTTTGGTACTTTTGAAACGTCAACAAAAATACAAAATAAATAATAGTCTGTCAGTCAGTCCGTCAGTGAAATTAGGTGAAGCTAGGTGCTCATTCCAAAACGTAGATTCGAATGGAGAAGAACGAGCAAGAAACTCCATTCGTTTATGTTAAACAAATCTGATGTTAAAATAAAATACATTTATTTAATCTATGTTCTCCAGTTCTTCTTCATGCCAACCCTGGCTGCTCCCGCGCACATTGTACATTGTACAAACTGCAACATAGATTGCAAACTATTTTTAATCAAGTTCCAAACTAATTCCAACCATATCGACTCGACTTAAGGTCGAAAATATAATATTAAAATGTTCATAGAGTGGTTGATTGTAGCGGAATTGGGTCGGAACCGAACCCGCTACTATTATGAGACGATGCTTTAGGAAGTTGAACTTAGGTGTCTATCTCTTAAGTTATAGCATAGTTTTTCAATTAATAAAACTTAACTGTTTTGTTGGTGGAGTTTAAGTGTGATAGTAGAAAGTAGAAAGATGTTAGGTTCGATTCTCGGATCAGGCAGACATTTTAGTATTTTTACCGACTTCGTTTATTTATTTCAACTTCGTACAACAAGTGTGTACAGTGACTTAATGCCTTGGGCATTGTCTCCCAGTCAACCTTTAAGCAGTGCAGAGATGAAAGTAGCAGGTGATTTTAAACTTTATAAACAGGCAATGTATTTGCATTTTTTCAGAAATTTTTGACAAACCTATGGTCGATTTTAAATAACAAGTTAATTGTTGGCTTGGTTCCGTACAGAGCCTTTGTGTTAGTCACAGATATATGTATTAAAAAATTTCTGTGGTGTTAGTCTTAAGTCGTAGGTAACTAATTCCTGTTATTAAATCTATGAATCGATGAGCACGAGTTGCGTACTTCAGAGACCAACAAGACATTACAATTTTAACTAAACTCGCGGGTTACCCACGTGGATATACCTACTAAAAACAGCTCTACTAATTTCGAACCACAGAGGGGTTGTTCCTAATGAGCAGCGTGCGCGGTCGCAGCGACGTCGCGCAGCTCACTGTAAGTTAGTCACTAGTAGAGCTATTCTCTGTATATTCACATGAGTAACCCGCGATTTTAGTTAATTTAGTATGTCTCACGATAGTTATTATAAAAACATTATAGTTTTAATTAAAGACATTTTAGTATAGAGATAATCTGATATGGGTGTGGTGAAACTAAACAAAAGCTTGTAATTCATACATTATATGTGCTGTAATGTGCACGTCTTCTCTCCCCTTCGAGGATGAAAGGCGTGATGTTATGTTATGTATGCTGTTTAACCTTTCTATGTTTTAAGAACCTATTTTAGGTTCATGTCGATCTGTAAAATGGACGCGAACAGGCGATCTTACCCTATGCAAAATCAACATTTAACTATTAGTTAGCTGAACCAGTTCATTTAGAATGTATTAGTAATTTGTTCCCACGCTTACAAACGACCTTGTGATTAACTGACACTTAGTTACATGGTTCAGCAGCCGGAAGTTTGTTTTTTACCTCATTTAGACACACACTTAAACTCCAGGACACCCTGAAGTTTGACTTTACAGCACAAGGTCTTAGGTTCAATTATTAATGATAACAGGCGTTGCACCGTGGGGGCTCCGGAAGAGACCTACTCTTTTATAGGACACGGTGGTGCCCCTTATAGGTGCTGATGGTGGCCACCGTGGTAGTTTTAGTCAGGTAAAAATCCCACAGTTCCTAGTCTTTTATCCCCAAAAAGCTAGTCGCCTTTTGAAGGTTTCACCATATTCACCATATATACATATCCCCATATATATATGTGTATATCAGTCATTAGTCTCCAATTGCTGAACATAGACCTCCAGTTGGAAGCGATCTGCATCCAGAAACTTTTTACAACTGTTCAGGTCATAGAATTATTCTAATGTAGTAATTCTTATTGATGTCTGTCGAATAATAATGGGAGTTTTATCAAGTTGCAATTTTGTTACTCTATCAGCCACAATATCTTCTAATCGGAAATTAAAACTTATTCACATCACACGCCAACAGCCTATAAATGCCCACTGCTGAAGCAAAGCCTCTTCTCACACGGAGAAGGTTTGAGCATTAATCACCACGCTTGCACAATGCGGGTTGGCGATTACAAACTTATAACTAAATAAACTTATGAAGTACATATAACTCGGAAAAATCACATTGGTAGGTAGGTACTTGGCGTTGATAGGTGTCACGACATAAAACGTATTAATTGACGTTAAAATTATTATGTATCACAACTTACAAATTGACACTGTGATCATATTCGAAACGCCTCAAACGTGAACTATAGCTTCGAAAATTACATCCAAATACGAGATCAAACTCACAGTAGGTAATCAACTCATAACACCAACAAGCAATTACAATTATAAACTAATTAATACAACAAATAGTCGACTCTTTGTACCTCTATATTCCGTAGATAATTACTTCACATACAACTAACAGCTTACACAAAGAGCTAGTGATGCGCCGACTATCAAACAAAAGAGTATCGAGTCCACGCGTGGTTTTAAAATTAGAAATAAACGATTTTTAATTGAAACGTCAATCTAGTGATGCGCTTGAGTTTTTTTGCTTTTTTTTCTGTCGATGATCGAGAATTATCTGTAAGGGTTCTGTGCTTGTACATATATACAAAAAGGGCCTTCATATTAGATAAAATGTAATGCGAATCAAGGGAAAATAAATACACCTAATCTAACATCATGCTAGTATAACCAATTTTTTTTTCAGTTGTTGTCTATTAATTTAGAAATCATAGTGATTGACCCTTTTTTCAACATACAGTCCAGAACATGGAAATTAGCTAACCTGGATATAATGACTTTAGTCTTCTTGCGGACAACCTAACTAGTTACCGTAGGTTTAAGCAGGAGTAGGAACAGGCTGGTTTTAAGTCAGTAAGAGTCCGATGAAAGAGAGGTGAATAAGAGAGTCTTTCGCCTCACCCAAGGCTCGAGACGTCGCAATTTTCCCCGCTCAAAAATAATTCTTATAATATCAATTTAAGTGTGGGAGAGCCATGCTTCGGTACGAATGGGCCGGCTCGACCGGAGTGATACCACGACCTCACAGAAAACCGACGTGAAGCAACGCTTGCGTTGTGTTTCGTCGTGTGAGTGAGGTTACCGGAGGCCCAATTACCCTCCCCTTCCCCAATCTCCCCAATTCCTGAATCCCCAACGATCCTCAAACTCCTAATCCCCAAAAGGCCGGTAACGCACTTGTAACGCCCCTGGTGTTCCAGGTGTCCATGGGTGACACCGATTGCTTACCATTATGTGACCCGTCTCGTCGTATACTGGCTTATGCCATAAAAAATCAAGATTTTGTGGATATTTCACTAACGAACACAATAAGTTGGTTAAAGTGAAATTACATTTGTAGTAATAATACAGAACCATCGTTGCATTAATAATACGATTTCTCAAATCATCAGATTCCCCTTTCATTATTGAAGGATAACGTTTATACATTATAAGCATGATATTCAAATCTTAGTATTATTAAGCATTAATTACTAACTTAATTGATTTTCTATTGATCCTCCTTTACGCTTTGTGTTTGTGTAGGACCACCATGTGTTTAGAAAAGGTAATGTTCAATAGAATGATTAAAGGTATTTCCTGAACTAAACTTTATTCAAATAAAAATGCACGACTGCGCGACAAGACTATGTTAACGGAACAGGGCGGATGTACAAGAAAAAAACATAGACAACACAATGACAAGTGAACGAAATGACACTGACAGTTATCAATGAATGTCACATTACATAATGTTATCTGTGGTTTGCAATTAGTAAACTAATCACAACAAAAGGAATACAGTTCAAAATCAATTGTTTGTGATTGGTTCCTTTTTCAACCAGTCACATTTATTTAATCTCGCCCCACATTAGGTGTCTGTCCTGTGTGTCGTGGGTAAAATTTCACATATAGATGACATCCAGACCCGAAACAACAATTTGTGGGTCACACAAAGAGTTGCTCCATGAGACAATCGAACTCGCTGGCAACCAATTGCCCAGTCACCGCGCTAACTGTGCAGTTATTTGGAATAGACATGTTTTTAATATAAGATCACGTCTAGGTAAACGTAGTGTAGATTCGGAGTCGCGGAGAACCTAACGGGTAACCGGGGCTCCGGCTCGACGTGCAGGAGAAGGAACGGGGTGGTTTTTAGTCAGTAAGAGTCTGACACTCCCTCCCGCCTCACCCAGGCGGGAGCAGTCATTCGATGATTTTCCCCCCATAAAAAAAAAAACGTAGTGTGGCTCTAGGGCGCTCTCTAGATAAGTGCGGTAATGATATTCGCAACGTTGACATCGGTTGGATGTGAAATGATAACAATTGTTTATATTTAATTCCGATATAAGCTTACGAGTTGGTTGTTGTATTTATTAAAATTTTGGCCTGAACTCTGATTTTTTGGGTATAATAGGAGATTATTTACCTTTCAGTATAGCGTGAGTCTGGTGGAACAAAACCTGTAACAAGACACATAAATAGGTAAGTAAATAAAAAATTCACTATTATTTTCGATTATTACAAGGTTGTATCAGTATTTTTAATCCTATGGACTTGAATGGCAACCATAATTGGGATGATGACAGGGTATGAAAATTAAAAATCTAATTAGTCCGTAAGTTAGGTAATGAAATATTAGACATGCATTTTTTTATTTTGTCATTATAATAAAACAATACTTAGATACAACGAATCAAAGTTTAGGAGTGGGGGCTAAAACGTTATTTCTACGTATAAAATGTACATAGAAGTGACGTCACGCGACATTTCAAATCAAAATATCGTCGAAAGTATTAGTTTCTATAAGAAAATAAAAAATACGTATCAAATGATCTAAAATAATGTACCAGATGGACATTAAAATAAAAATTAGGCATCTACCATATTGTCACTCTATATAATTTCTTAGGTCATCTTTGGGCAATTTTAAGAAAAATAAATAAAACAAGTCATACATTTCATACATTTTAATTAAAACAATTTGCAACCTCGTACCATTGATTAGGAAATGCCCAGAGTACTCAAAGGCGTAGTCTGTTACATTACGAATCCAGATATTTTATCTGTAGCGATGTCAAGCTTATTGATCGCGGAAGTCGTTGATACTCGTTTCAATAAGTTGGTATGAACATAGTAGATAGTATCAACGGTAGAGAAGGAAGCACTAAATACTTCTGTTTGAACTACCTATGTATAATATATGTATATAGTGACCATTTCTATTCTTTATTAGTGCTTGCAAGTTATAATCTCTGTCCTCGTTTATATTTTACAATACAAACAGTTGTTCTAAGTCGATCTGTCTGTCTGTCACGCGGAAGCCCTAAGGTACTTGAAATCGAGCACTACCTATGATTAAGTGTCCGATACCAGAAACCTAGAGTTTGTTTTAATAGGAACTGGTATTTTTGAGTTTGGTGTAAGTTGTGAGCTTATGACGATTTGTTCGTCATAAACTAAAGTTTAAACTCAAAAACAACTAGACTGATTTTTAAGAGAAGTCGTCGACAGATAGCTCATTATAAAAGGCATGACAATCCACTGCTGAACAATGGGCCTCCTTTAGAGATAACAGTATCTTTTATAATAATTATCGTGAGACATACTAAATTAACTAAAAGTCGCGGGTTACTCACGTGAATAGAAAAGCTCTACTAGTTTCGAACCACAAAGGTGTCCGGCAGAGGGCACGTTGAGCTAGATGCGCAAGTAGCAAGACCGATGCGAGCGCCAACGCTAGCCAGTAGGATGCGCGACATCGCCGCGACCGCGCACGCTGCTCATGAGGAAGAACTCCTCTGTGGTAGTATCTTCCACAATTTCTGGCTTTTGCAGCCGGACTGGAGGTAGTAGTTTTCAGGGTTCATCAGAGAACGCTACTACCTGGTCTATGTCAAATGTGTAGTTCATTAGTAGGTTCTTGTGATACACGAGAGTAATATTAAGGAGGTGAAAAATGTATTCTTCTCTATCACCTATTTTACCCGCTCTACTCGGCTCCTATTAATCGTAGCGTGATGTTTTATAGCATGTAGCCTTCCTCGATAAAAGGGCTATACAACACAAAAATATATTTTTAAATCGGACTAGTCATTCCTGAGATTAGCGCGTTCAAACAAACAGACAAACAAAGAAACTCTTTAGTGTTATAATTAATGTTGATACTATCCCGCCTTCTTTCACGCTTTGCACCAAACTCCAAAAGAATAATGTTTACCCTCAAGATGTCCGAGGTTGGTCGACAACTGATGTCGCTTTAGATATGTATGTCAATGTTCTGAGCCTATTATACGACCACACCGCCATTTTGAGGCCATTATAGTATTTTCTTACCAAGCATATTATTATCTAAGTTTATTCTTGAAGATAGTCTATCCTGTGTTTATATACTGTTAGGTATGTTATAAGCAAACGAAATATAAGTAAAAAGAGAGAAGGTTATCGACACACATAGATACTCTATCACCATAGACTATACTATGACCATAGAGTATACCACAGATACACAACAATCTATAACTTTCGTGAGACATACTGGGCTTTCCACGAATAGGCCGGCTTGACCTGAGTGATACCACGTCCTCACTGAAAACCGACGTGAAACAACGCTCGCGTTGTCTTTCGTCGTGTGAGCGAGATTACTGGACCACCGTCCACAATCTTCCCATTCCCCGAAACAATCCTCTAATTCCTAATTCCCAAAAGACCGGTGACGCATTTGTAACGCCTCTGGTGTTCCGGGTGTCCATTGATGACGCCGATTGCTTACCATCAGGTGATCCGTCTTCTCGTTTACCGGCTTATGCCATAGAAAAAAAATACTAAATCAATTTATATGTTTTCGGCTTACTCGCGGAATTATTTGACGAGAAACTCAGCGATATACTGTTCATGAATATGAATTCATGAACACGCGACGCTGCGACTATCATATAGAATGATCGATCCTATCGATGTGGCGGTAGTCTATCCTTGTATTGTGCTCTTATTTTTTTTTTTAAAAAACGTTGCCTTAATCTAGGATTTTCTCCTTTGTGCGTGTGCGTTTGTGTTCTCCTGGGTGCGTTTACAAATACATAAGTTCACATACACATGACACCCAGACCTGGAACAACAATCTGTGGATCACACAAAGAGTTGTTCTATTTTAATTTCTACTAGGTTTCTGTCTGCGATATATTCTGTTCGCATAATTCGTGTAATTTTAAATTATTTGCAATAATATTGGAATTTCAATAATCCTTGAAAAAAAAACATCCTAATGATACAAGAATTTTAAAAAACTGTTCTGTATATATATATATATATATATAAAATCGAGCAAAGTATCACAATATGTAACAAAAAGTGTGGAAATAAGCAGAATTAAACTGTCAAACACCAAGCGGTCACCGGTGACCGCAACCTATTGTTCTATAATTGTGTCTACAAAACCGGTACTCGACGAGTTAAGGTATTTATGAGAAAAACCAAAAAGTCTGATTTGATACAGTTTATAGAAAACTGTGTTCAGAATGGCTATTTAAAAAGTACCCATTATTACCAACTCAGTGCTTCCAAGGGTATGTACCATTAACTCATCGATCATTACTATCTCGGATACCCAGGCATACCTTCGATATCCCCCTACCATCTGTCCACTTGTCACATCAGTGATAATTCTCCAGTAACAACTCATTCAACCTTCAATTCTCTCTATCTGTCATCATAGCGTATCGCGCGTGGATCGTGATGCCCAGTCTCAGATCTGAGTGCGTCACGTATTTGTGACTTTGTGTCATTACACAGGTAAGTTTACGAATGTCAGGTCGGGATAAACATTATATTTTATTCTAAAATTTTGACAAAACGTGATAATGTATATATAGCTTTTCTGATGAGATATAATTACTATAGAGTGCTAAGTTAGCTTTGAGTCGCATCGGGCTAAAATCGACTGCAAGAGAAGTTTATCGCCGCACATTCAACTCATTGTTAAGAGTCCCGGTTTGGCTTGAAATGAGTCGACCACTTCTGTGACATACCTTAAGACAAATGCCGTTATTTTTTAAAAAGTAAATGATATAGTGGTACTTCTGATGTTTCCTTCTAACGTTAGAGCCTTTCAGAAGTACATGTCACGTCTAAATGACACGGCGATGGTGATCTCATTGCGTTTTTGCACGATTCACCTGCGCAGAAGCACTTATTAACAAAACGTAATAAATCTCAAGCGTAGCATGCAATTTTGGGTTCTATCACTTAGGGAAAGGGGCTAAAGTTGTTTGAAAGAAGGGTGGGAGAAAAAATCTTAGTCGTATATTGAATGTAATGTTTTATGTGGGAATTTTACACCGTCTCTGCTTAGGCGTTTTTCTTGTGTTAGCTTTAACAAGAATTTGAAGTATGATGTCTCTTCCGTCGACACATCTGCTGTTGGTATTTATTGTGTAATATTAATATCATACACGTTATGACGCCTTTTAACCTCTGAAGGGGTAGCCAGAGGGCGGTTAACTTAATCAACGTATCATTCGGTTTTTATCAGTTATGTGTCCTATGTCAGCAAGCCTTGCCATTGCCAAACAATTACTGGGCATAATTCCAGATATATATTTAATGTGAATATACTGTTAGACGACAAAAATCAACTAAATGAACGTCACTAGTTTAATCTATGTTATCGACAGCACTAACTGTCAAATGGGACAGATTAGAATAGTTTTCCCGCGCAAAGGGTGGTAACGCGCGATTTCTGGTGGGAATTTTGACGAGCATCACGCTGTATTCTTATAAGAATTCGTTTAGAATAACATTTTCAGTATTCAAGTATTGAGTTTTACTTAAAAATACATACAATGTTAACGCGAAATAAATGCGGGCATACAAATCTTTGCCTGGCTTGTATATCGAACCCCTCGGTAGTCATTTAACATTTTCATTATACTAGAACTTTAATAAAACCATCAATTTTCTATCACAACAATCTATTACCAATTAGTTTAAAACCCACGGTTTAAAACAACACTAAACTTTTGTTACAGTGACCTTTAACTTGAACATGTAACAGTTTAACAGACGATAACCATCGAATTGTTTTACTTTTTTTATTCAACTTTTTATTTGAACCGTTTGTTAGTTATTTTGTTGCTGGACGTGGGAATGTGTGTCTATGGAATTTGTCTTTGGTTTCATTGAAGAGTTAAAGAGGTTAACTATATTGATATCGGTCATCGCAAAAGTATGGGTTTGATTCCCAACATGGGGAAAGTAAGGTACTAATTAGAAACGCTAAATTATGACGAGTTGCATTGCATGTATATTTTTGCTTAACTTTAAATCCGATCATGCGCAGAGTTGCCAGTCAGTGAGATTCGCAGTTCAGGCAATTATTACATGACATTTTTTTTTGAAAATAGAAGATAGATAACTGTCTGGTTAGCAGTTTTCAGATATCTTTGGCGAATATAGCATATTCTTC